CCCATATATGCAGTTGATGTTGAATGTCCTAGTCCTTAATGTCTGCCTCCAAAAAGAAAAAAAGAGGAAAATGAAGAGGAGGAAGATGTGATCTCTATAAATCCCCTGGTAATCACTTCAGCCAGAGGGGGAGGGCTTGCAACAATGGGGAGGTACAACAACAATGGCCACCCATCTCTTTATACCTCTGTGATCAGAAGCAGTAACCAGCAATCACAGCATAGATTCTCCAGTATTTGGAAGGCAAGGTCCTTTTTGGCCACCCTGGCTCCTGTAAGCTGTTCTAGGAACATGTGCACAGCTGCCTCCCATGGGACTAGAGTTGGGGGTAGGTAGTTGCTACTGTGCAAAGAGCTGAAATTGAATGAGACTAATGGCAATTTACTGTCTAAGACTTCTCCTGGAAGTTTCAAACTTCAATAGACTCCAGAGTTCCAAAATAGTTTATCATATGGATTCTGCCAGCACAATTGTTGTCTAGGTGGGGAGACAGATTCCTGGTGTTTCCTACTCTACCATCTTCCTAGAATCCCCCCAATACCACCAATTACATTTTAAAATGCTCAATCTGGCTGTTGTGAGCAGGAGAGAAGAGTAAAAGCAAGGAGATGAATTAAGAGATGGTTTCAGTACCTAGGTGAGAAATAATGGTGGCTTAAGTGAGATGATAGTAATGAAGATAGTGAGATTTGTTTGATTCTGGATACACTTTAGGCAATTTTACCATGTTCTGCGGCTACTGTTAACTCTCATTTCTGGCTATACTGAGATAAATAGCCCAGCCCATGTGACTATTGCATATTGCATATTGCCTTAGGTACCAATTTTTCAGGCTAAGATTTCACACATTGCCACAACACGGGTAGGGCCACCCACAAATCTACAAATTTGGCCAGTATTTTCACCTTACCATAGGACCGACAGGCGTAACATCATTATGAAGTGTTGCTTTCCATATTTCTATACACACACACACACACACACACACACACACACACCCCACATGCACACACGCGTGCACAACCCAATGCTTACCTCCTTCTGGGGACTTAATGAAACTGATAAACTCCTGACAGAGAATATAATGGAAACACAAGTTTGTTTTACAGAAGAAAGGTAGTCGGTATTTTTCCAACCAAGTCAATAATCCTTTGTACTTGGCAACCTACAGTCAAAACAAAATAAAAACAGAAAAGATAAATGGTGCTGAACTGCTAAGAAATACAGCTCAGCAAGAGGCAATAAATCATTTCACATTGCAGTATCTGGCCAGAAGGAGAGGTGTGTGGGTTAAAAATATCTAAGAGGAGCAGAGACTTCGTCTGAGGCTCCCAAAGAAACAAATTGATTATTAGGAAATAAAAAGCTTGATCTTCCGTCAAAAAGTCTTCCTTATTCCTGGGTGAAGTTGTTAAAGAAAAAATGTAAGTCTTCCTTGAGAGAAGAGAAGCAGAAGAGATTTGGGTCTGTGGTGTCAGGTCATAACATTCTTCAAGTGGCTTCTTTGTACACCCTCTCATAATTTCCGACAAGCCCCTAACCTGTATCAATTGCACGACACATACAAAAACACACAAAGATTCACATGATTTAGAATACTACATGGAGCCCTGAGGGATCAAGCCACCAGAGAAGGGGGAAAATAATTAAAAATGTTTAAGTTTCAGGGTTATCTTTGGGAGACCAAATATAAGAGTCAGAGTAAGGTATGTCTTCTCAGCTCTCCAGAACACAAACCTTGCTATGGGGGACGTACAGTGACCTTTCTGATCCCATTTGACACTAGTAGGACATGGGGAAGCCATTGGTAGGTCTAAGGTCTACACAGTGGAAAAGGAGAACAGAAAGAGGAAAAAGGAGAGGATAAAGACAATAGATAAGAAAAAGGGAAAAAAGGCATAAAGAAAAAAAAAGATTGGGAGAAAAACACGCCTCTGGAGGAGAACGGTCTAGCAGTCACTAGAAACTGCAGGGTGACATCTTACCTTGATCTATATCTGATAATGCGTATCTGATAATAACTCTGTGGACCCTGGGCTGCCACTTCCTATCCCACGCCATGGCAGACATTACCAATCAATTCCCAGACTCTTTCCTGCTTAGATGTACCCTCAAGGTTCTTCTCAGGACAGCACTCCAAGCAACTACTAGCCAACAATCACAGCGGATGTGAGAGATGAATCCCATTTGCTAACTACATGGACCGGAATATAAAGGAAAGAATTCCCCAGCAATTGCTTGCCCAACAGACAAAAACATTAACAAAAAAAAAAAAAAGAAAGAAAGAAATGTCTGACTGGCATATTGCTAGTTCTTTTCACCCACTTTAGAGTTTCTTCCATGTCACTCTCTGGACTTCCTCTCCTTCTCCTCCCAATTCACATTTCAAATACACCTCCCTCTTTCTCCAACCCAAACCCTCACCACTCAAGAATTTTACTCACCAAGTCATAAGGTATTTCTGGCCACAAGCTCCATTGTGAATTTTCAACAGTGTAAAACGGTGTTTGACCAAAAACCTGCAAAAGAAAGCTAGGAAACAGCCAAGGGGGTAGAGCTTTTCTCTTCATGTATATGGCATAGTCCATTGAAGCCACAGGAAAAGAGAGGTTTACTGCTTTCCTATTTCAAGGGACATTAATTCTTAAATTTATTCTGTATCAACTGTATCAACTTTCTGGGGACAAAAACACCCTAAATAGACTGAGTTGCAAAATTTGTTTATCTTTTGGCTCCACCCTGCCCTGATCTGGGAGCTATCTTACTTGTGTGCAAAGGCCAAGGCCCATGATAATGGAACACACTTACTTTGTGTATTCCATTATTCACTTTCTCCGTGGACTTAGAGAGTGAATGCAAAGGTGTAAAACCTTTTCCTAATGAGAAATAGCTTTAGATGTATCTAACCTCTTGAACTGGAGAAAATAGGGCTGAAGATGTGAGGATTAGGGGTACAAATTACATATGGAGACATTAAGAGAATCTAAAATTAATCGGTAATTCTAGGCTACTGTACTCTTTTGTCATGAAGAAAGACTGTCACCAAGGCAACCAGCTTTGCAGCTGATGGGAAAGGGCTTCTCTGTTTATAGGTATCTAAGCTTAAGTAGTCTCACCCTAGGCACCAAAATGTCTTCAAAGTGTCCCAGAAGTGTTGGTGGAAAACTAGAGGGTCTGAAGCTCCAACTCCTAGCTGAGCTCTCAGCATATCATGTCAGTCTGACCCTCTCCCCACCTCAAGACTAACAGCCCCAAACTTCAGTCATTCTGTGTCCCCCCTCCTTTACTGCGAACACTTCAATGGCTCTCTGTCACCTCCAGGGTGACATCCAAACTCCTGAGCATGGCCTGCCTGATCTCTGGGCCTTGGCTCAGCTCACCTGTGCATCTTATCTTTTACTTGGTCTTATTCTTACAACTTTTTCTTCAGCCTTACTGGTTACCTACAGATTCCCCCAAAGTGTCATAGGATTGTATTCCTTTGTGCATTTTCTTTATTTGTTCTCTCTGTCTGTCAGGCTTTTGCATCTCTTGCTACTCATTCCCTAGTCTTTTCCTCCTACTTCTTTATCCACCCTTTTCTCCTCACCTTCTTCCCCCAGTTAATTGTCAAATATCTACTTCTCTTTCAAGACTTGGCCTGTGTAAGCCTTTCCTGGCCTCTTCCAGGTAGGGGTCGCCTCTCCCTCCTGTGTACTGTATCTCCACTGCCTCCTAGAAAGTTCTATCATGTCACTCATACCTGAAACACCATTCTCTCACATTAGACTGGGAATTCCTTGAGGACAAAGATGGTATCATTACTGTGTGCATCTCCAATAGTAAGCCCAGAGGCTGGCACATGATAACCACTCAGTAACTATTTGTGGGATAATGTAGAGTGTCTTTTTCCCATTTATCTGAAATTTCACCTTTTAATAGGTGACATCCCATGGGAGTGTGCATTGAGATGAGCCACAATTTATAAAGCTCCAGCATTAAAATGTCACCAAAGATTTAAACTAAAAATGATGCAGGATAAATCTAGGTCTAGATATTAGTATAAGACTAGACAAATATCTAGTTAATATTTTGATGTTTGAGAAGAATTCCTTATGGAGAATGGAATTTAAGCAGAGATTTGAAGAATGGTTAAGACTTTGGTAGGTGGAACTATGAGACAGGCATTCCAGGCAGAAAAAAAAAATAGCCCAAGGAGAGGTTCAGAGGTGGGGCAACACCAGGTGTACCCAGCGAGGATAGAGCTACCACCACTAGAGCACTGGGCGTCAGCAGAGGGTGTGATGGTAAATAACTTCGGATGGGCAAAGGCAACTAAGGAAGCTAGGATTTAGGACTTGATTACATCAACAACGGGAAGCTCCTGGAGATTTACAGGTGGTTCTGGTTCATATTTATTTGCTCAAATTGAAAATTTTTGATTTGAGTAGAAATTTAGTGAATAACAAAAATTTTTTAAAAAACAGGTGCTCAGCTCAGTGAAATTCTCTAGTCAGCTGTTAATAAAATATTTGGATTTAAGTCTGAGAATGCTTACCGGAAGAGAAAGGAATGTGTTGAAAAAATCAGCAAAGATTTCATCCTCTAGCAGAATTATAAGATTAGTAGAACCAATTATCTCTATGTGGAGAGAAAAAAGAAACATGAACCAGGATTGCATTCGGGTGGAGAAAATGAAGCCATCGAATAGATCATTTCACATAGCCTAAGCTCAGCATTAGGAAAGCCTATAGGACGGCGGTCCCCAAGCTTCTGGCACCAGGGATCATTTTCGTGGGAGACAGTTTTTCCAGACTGGGGAGTGGAGGGACGGTTTCGGGATGCAGTTACTTTTCAGAAAGCAAAGGCAGGAATTGACATTTATTCTAGTCAAACTTCAACTTGTCAGTTTGGGCCCAACATTACGTCCTGACAAGAGCTTTCTTAAATGTCGATTTAGTCATGCAATGTATTTATTTCTTCTCTCAGGTTTGATCATTGTGCTGCCCGAGTTAATCCAAGGAAATAAATGTTGAATGTCATAAAGGCAAGCATGGAGACCCCAGGTGAACTAGGGAACTCCTTTAAGTTTACTCTAATTCACTGTGCTCTTTAGAGTACAATATTCAGCTAGTGAATAAGTCAATTGTTTTATCAATGGCCCAACATGTCTCCTTCATGTCTGAAGTTCATAACGAAAGACCGTAAAATGGGTCTAAATATTATACACTAGGCCTGCCTCTCTGTCTAGTTAAGCATCTGATAATGACAGTAAGTGCCATTCACTATCACTAAAGTGCAGTTATGATAACATAAAAAAACCTAAATGATCGCCTCCATCACTTTTTCTGATGACACCAGATTGATTATTGGCTTCATATACTAGAAATAGAAATAGAAACACAGAAAATCAAACACTATTGTGAGTAACAGAGCTGGTGTCAGTGCTGGCCCTCTGTGATACTGGACAGCAAGAGAAAGTTCTTGTCAGGCTATAATGGTAGAATCTACCACAATGGTAGAATTTATCACTACCTCCCTGCACCATCGTGTACCTCTTCCATTATTACAATTAACAAATCACATTGCTAAAAAAAAAAAAAAAAAAAAAAAAGACATCTGCACCTGAATGTTTATAGCAGAACAATTCACAATTACAAAGATGTGGAATCAACCCAAGTGCCCATCAATACATGAGTGGATTAATAAAATGTGGTACATGTATACCATGGACTACTACTCAGCCATAAAAATTATTGCCTTTTGCAGCAATTTGGATGGAACTGAGACCAGTATCCTAAGTGAAGTATCTAAAGAATGGAAAAACAAACACCACATGTACTCTCTACTAAATCGGAACTAACTGATGAGCACACATGTGCATAGAGGGAAGTCAAACTCAGTGTAAATCAGCCAGTGGGGAGGGGGAGGAGAGGATGAATGAAAACCTACCTAATGGGTACAATGAACAACAGCTGACAGGCACTCTTACAACCACAACTCAAGCATTATAAAAGATATTCATGGAACCAAAGTTATGTGTACCCCATAATACTTTGAAATAAAAAAAAATGTCAACTTGCTTTCATCCATTGATATATCTGTCTTCCTCACCAGACTGAGCTTTTGAGAGGAACGACTTTGTTTTTTCATCTTTCTTCCCTTAGGCTCTAAAAGTGTTTGCACAATGTCTAAGTTCTGTAAATGTTGAATGAATTATTCTTTCAAGAGATGATCTTCAATCTTTCGGGCTTTTGTTTCATTGGTTGTCATTCGTAGAGTCTAACATGGATTTGTTGAATAAGTACATCACTGAGACCATCTGAGTACAAAAAGGTGGGATTTGGGAGGAATTTCCCAAGTGAGTGTTTTCCATAGCTACACACACTGCTGATGACAAGGGGCTTGACGGTGATAGGGCTTGCCATTGACAAGACAGTCTAAGTGAGATGTAGGAACAAAGCTCTACACATCCTCCCCTTCCCCATCCTACTTCTCCTCCATTCCTATTTTTCCAGTCTTACCTGTTCTACCATCAGACTTCCTAACAATCCAAGAAGACTTTCAGCATTCACTCCACACCATAAGAATACTGACTTGGCAACAAGAGAAGGCACTGGATAATCCCAAATCCCACACCAGCCTTCTCCCTGGAGGAGGTAAGGCACATGATTGCCCGACTTACATTGTACTTCCTCCCTCTTGCCTTAATTGTCTTATCAAAAAAGTCCTGTCCTATCCTTAAAGATCTGGTGGCAGAAGGTAGGAGGAAGGAGAAGGAGAGACAGATGGAAAACAAAGGGCACAAATAATAGGAAAGTCCCATGTGGTGGCCCTGAATGACTCAGACCTATTCACGATTGGGAAGGTGAGTGGTTTGCCTTATTTGAGGGACTCAAAGCCTTGAAGTCATCCCTCCCAGAGACTCACCAGCGTTGCTCATGTTGCCATGCTCTTCCTGACACATGAATTGGTTAGGAGCAGAATCAGCCCCCAGTCAACAGAACACTGCCCCCTGTGGACACATAATGACACTGCCTCTAAGAGGTTCTAGATTCTTTTGGGCAATGGCCTACTTTAGTATAGATGTTAATCTGAAGCTAAGTCTTTATCCGATCTACTGGATCCCCTTGAACATACTAGATTCTTCCTATAATTAAGCCTTTAGTCCATAATATTTCATGCGCATTGATTGGTTCTTTATAATTATGCCCAGGATCTCTTCATTGCTCCATCCTCTCCCACCCTAGGGTAACTTTTGCATTTCTAAACTCATGTCCCAAAGGTCTTGAAAATTATTACATTTGATGTAATTTTAATAAGCAATATCTCCTGGATATTCTGTCCACGTAAAACATCAACCTCCAAAAGACCTGGATCCCCTTTCTCTGAAGGGTTATCAGGCACTTGATTTTCTCATTAAACAATTCTTCATTTCTTTTGTCCTCTTCTGGTAGGAAGTGAATATTAAGATGAAAGACCAACAGCCCTAGAAACCTTAATAATTTAGCCAAGAATTACTAAGAAAAGAGTTCTTCAGTGTCACACCCAAGAAAGGGTTTAAAGAATTTGAAAGTCGTGGGATTGTTGGGAAGCTTATATAATGTCTAAAAAAACTTTGTCGTCCCAGGGAAAGAAAAAGAAAGTTGAAACTGCCAATAAAATACCACATTTAAAAAAGTGTTATGCTTTTTCTAGTATATGTAAAAACTAAATACTGTATTTTAGAGTGATTTTAGTGAGGAGGGATTCTTTACTTCTTGATATTTTATATATCCTAAGATGAATTTTTAGCTTACCTTATTTCTTTAGTCTATTATCAAATACCACATTCATTAGTTAGTGTAACATACACATCTTAAGAGAATTCAAGGTGAAGCTCTGGATGGTTCAATAATGTCATATTGTTCCTTGGATTATCACCTCTCTTTGGAAAAGGGCTATCACAACCTCAGCAAAGAAATAGAGTTGTGGTCTCTTCTTAAAATGATGGCATATAGGGTAGTGATATATACCCACCTTCCTTAAGACAGTATGATTTCAGACTGTCTTCAATCAAGCTGTGTGCAGCTACTCTTTAGTCCTAATTACTGCCCCGCTATCATCCCCACAGCTCGAAGAGGCTGCCTATTGGAGCCATTAACAGCCAAAAGGAAGTCACTCTATGAATGGTAAGGATGAAAAGCCAATGTCACTGGCTAGAGGGTGGAAGTGCATAATGGTTGGTTCCCTAACCCTTTCATGACCTTCTAGTTTCTGGAAAGAAAGGGTACCAGATGTCTCCCAAAGTCGTGTGATAATAAGAATCACCTGGACTTCTTGTCAAAAAAAATAAATTACCAGTACCTTCCCCTGGCAAACCTGATTTAGAAAGGCTGTGTTGAAGCTCAGATGTCTCTATATTTTACAAGGGACTCAGATAATCATTATCATCAGGCAAATATAGAAAATACTGGTTTTCAAATTAGACATGAGCTTGCAAGTCAGCCCTGATATTTACTGGGTTCATGTTAGATCGGATCCAGCATGCAATTAATTTTCCAAAGCTCTGGGCATCTCCTTTACCCCAGTGCACAGTTACCCTGGGAATGACAGCAGGTCTTTGGCAAAGATTAGGAAGAATATTCACAGTAAATACTTGCAAAAATATTGCAAGATTCTTCCTAAAGGCTAAATGCTTTCTTTTTATTTAAGAGATTGTAGGTCTGACTCAGGGCTGAAAATTGGAGGAGAGGCCTTATTCTTTACAATGATGGCTCATTTTAGGTTCCTATTAAGTCATTTACTCAATAAATATTTTTTGAGCACCTCTATGTGACACAAACTGTTCTAGATGTTTGGGATGCATCACTGAATAAAATGGTCAAAGATCCCTGCCGTCACAGACTTTACCTTCTCCAGTAGAGTCTTACTGGGCTGCCCACAATATTTTTTTCCAAGAGATCCCACGGTCAATGACCACCACAAAGAATCTGTGGGTTGAATCATTCTGATATCCACACGGGCATAGGTGCCTATTATGATAACCACTCTTACTTTGTTTTTGGTGGTTAGCACCACTTCCCATTGAGATCAAAGCCAATTTTCAACTAAGACATATTTTCTCAGCAACTGTGGTTGTCTCCACTGTGCTGCTACTGCTAGCACCACCACTAAGCATTTGTTTTGGAGTATTTGTTGTCACAAGAACCACCATGCATAATCTCCGTTGCTCCTGAGCTTTCGAGTCACTTCTCCAAGATGAAAGTTCTGAGTCTAGGACAGGTGTCCATGTCCTTACTGCCAGGGCCAGGAGAGGGACTGTCTGGCCCTGGAGATACCTTAAAGAGATACAAGTAGAATTACCATTTGATCCAGCAATCCCATTACTGGGCGTCTATCCAAAAGAACAAAAGACACTCTATAAAAAAGACACCCACACCCGAATGTTTACAGCAGCACAATTCACAATTGCTAAGATGTGGAAACAACCCAAGTGTCCATCAATACATGAGTGGATTAATAAAATGTGGTACGTGTATACCAGGGAGTACTATTCAGCTTTAAGAAACAATGGTGATATAGCACCTCTTGTATACTCCTGGATAGAGCTGGAATGCATTCTACTAAGTGAAATATCCCAAGAATGGAAAAACAAGCACCACATGTACTCACCATCAAATTGGTATTAACTGATCAACACATAAGTGCACATATAAGAATAACATCTATTGGATGTCGGGCAGGGGGGAGGGGGGAGGGGGTAGGAGGGGACGGGTATATGCATACACAATGAGTGTGATGCACACCATCCGGGGGATGGACACTCTTGAAGCTCGGACTTGGGGGGGGAGGGGAGGCAAGGGCAACATACGTAACCTAAACATCTGTACCCCCATAATATGCTGAAAAAAACAGACTCACACAATGATTTTTCACCCCACTTAGGAAGAGTGGTCAGAGACAGAGTGACCAAGAGTTTTTTGAGATACACATTTTTTTTTAAAGAGCAAATATTTACGTTTTTATTATTATTTCAGAATATTGTAACTTCGACTCAAGCAGTAACAAAAGCAATCCATACACACACATATTTCTATATCGATTGAATTCTGTGCTTATTCATGTCCGCGCATCTAAGTTTAACAGGAAAAAGACCTACATGATGTTTACTGGATGCCTCCGCAATGCTTGCTTGTGTATCTTTCCTGCTCTCCTCTCCATCCCTCCTAGATTGTTCCTTCAATACCAAACTGGGAGTAAGAACCCTTTCCAGGCTCCTGTGAGATGGTGCCCTCTGGTGGATGGTAGTGAAGATTACACTTTTCTCCCCAAAACTCTACTCTGTCATTTGGACGTTTTGTTTTTGCCCAAACCTATCTTCAGTTAGCGTTACTTTCCAAAGAGATTAGGATTACTGTCAGAGTGCTCATGCCTACTGTGACGGGAGGAGTACAGAAAGGCCCTCATCATCCGCACAGTAGGCACGCCTTTCCTCCATTGTATCAGGCTTAGCTGCAATTCTCTGTGGCTTTGTAGGCCCCTGCTAACACGTGTTGTGAGATGTAATAATGTTCGGAGGCATTAATTTGCTATAAGAGATGAGTTTACCAGGATTTAACAGGGTTTCAAAAGTACTCAAAACATCAAAACAGAACACGTCTAACGGCTAACAGGTGGTTTTATCATCTCTTCAACCTTCATCTTTGTAGAGATAATATCTTGAAATACTAATATTTGGGCTTTGCTTTTCAACCCTCACAGAGGAATTTTCCTCTATTTTGTCAAAGATATTGCATCAAGATGAGGTCAGATTATAATAGCAAAACAAAAAGTCAATTTTTAGGTTAAAAAATCCAAAATATGCTCTTAATATCAAAAAGAGGAGGTCTGAGTGAAATAGAAAACAGAGTTTTACCATCTCAACAGGAAAGGGTGGAGCAGAAAAGCAGATTGCCTCCCACTCCAACCTCCAGGGCACTACGGGGGTTCCCCGAGCTGGAGGAGCTGCAAGGCTGGGCCAAGACCTGAAAAGCTATCCAAGGTTGTGGGTGAGAAACAAGGGGACGGAACCCGGAGGTGGCAAACAGGACACTGCACAGCTCCACTGGTCTCCAGGACCAAGGAGAAGCACGGAAGCTGAACTCTGCCTGAGGCATATTTTATTTTATTTTCACACTAGGGACACCCGTTCATCTCCGGCAGAAAGCAGTGTTGTCGCCCGACCATCCTGCTGATGCAGGGGGCAAGCCCTCCGTGGAATCTGCCTTCGGGTCACACGCTGAACATCCCGCACTCCACGCCATCCCACATTCTGAGACGTGGCTGAGACCCTGCTAAACGACACTGGGAAGCACCACCCTCCCGCGCCACGCAATAACTCAGAACTCTCGCCAGCCCCTAAAAGCTGAGGGTGATGGTCCTTGGTAACCAGACAACAACCCACTGCTGCTGTACTTTAACTTTTAAATAAGAAAATTAACAAGGAAGAGTAGAGCCGAAACCAAAGGATACCTCTAGTTCTCCTAGGAACTAGAAGAAAAAAGGAAAACGGAAGGACGATGACCCTCTAGAATCCCTGCCCCCGCCCCACTCTGTCCTAACTTGATGTTTTAGTCTCAATCAGGAGTGAGGTACGCTTGACAGATTCTTCACATCCTGGGGAAGATGTGGGAGAAGGAAAAGGGGCGCAGCACTCGCTGCAAGTCCCTGACCCCCCTGTCATACCCCGCTATAGCATTATGTGACAAAGCTAAATGTCTGGCTACCTTAAGCCACTTTCTTAACCCTTTTGAGTTTTAGAACCTCACTGATAGAATAGTTATGAGGATTCAAAAACAAAAGTGCACGGAATAAACAAGGCATTGGATTTTATTATACGTGAAAACTAGAAAGGAGTGGGTCCAGGTGAGTCTTGAGAAATCAATTCAGATGTGTCAGAAGAAGAATCTGACAGCCGCTACGTTCAGGGAGACATGGCCAAAGAAACTCTGGAAACAGACAAGCCCTCTGAACCCTCACTATGTGCAGGGCGTCGCTCTGTTCCATAAATCCTGCAGAGGAAGGTGCCTTTAAGGATCTGAGTTTCTGTTTAATAAATCACAAAGTAATCAAAGGAAAAAAAATCAAGAATAGTTCTATGAGTTCTGCATACTCAAAATGACAGTCTGGATTTGGTATGAGCATTGATGAGATCCAGAACAAGAAAGGATGAGGAGGTGGTTATTATGATGGGTAAATTATTATGTACTAAATATGGCTGGTGGTCCTCACTGTATGTGGTGGGTGAGGGATATTTATAAATGGGCCAAAGGCAGGATATAGTAAATTTATTTTAACGTTCTCATGGGAGGGGAAGGAGGGAGGCAGAGAGGTCCAGGGCAAGCAGATCTCAGTTGCTAGAGTTGAGGTCGGGGGGAGGGAGGGCAACAGGAGGGGAGCCGCGAGTGGAGGTCATAGGTACACTCCTCTCTTGTTTCATTCGCCTTTCCTCTGCACACTGCTCAGCAAGTGAGACTGAGAGAAGCCAGAAAGGGATAGGGGTGTGCCCATCCCAGCAGAGTCTGGCGCCTCGTGGTGAGACATCTCTGAAGGAAGGACACCCTATCATCTTCTCTGACATCTCCACCTCTCACAGCTTCTCATCCAGATATCCCGGAGTGTGCAGGCAATAGGGAACCATTTGGAGGCACATCCTGATTCAGCCATTAACAAAAATGTAACAATACCACAAAAAGGAGAAGCTGTAGATCCAGATCATCAAAATGGCACTGAAGACCACATGCCAGCAGAAGAAGGTGGTGACAAACGCAATGTCATTTTCATCGTCATCCATCCATTTATAGCCAGAGATGGGTTTGTACAGCATAAACCCCATCTGCATCAGCCAAGAGCCTGTGATCGTATACAAAAAGGCCTTCATCATCCAGACCAACGGCACATTGGGAGCCCACAGCTCTGCGATCACCACCAGCATCAGCAGGAACATGGCCTGGGTGAGCAGCATGTGAGACTGCAGCTCCACTCCTTCTGTGTCCTGCATGTGAGACACCATCAGGGGCAGAGAGATGAACACGCCCAGGGCTTGGACACTTTGCTCGAGAGCAGCACACCTCTGGGGCAGCAGGTTCTGGCTCACCACGTCTACACACCCACTCAGGAAGATGGTCATGTAGAAAGTGAGATGCTGCCACTGTTTGCGGTACATAAAGTTTCTCTGATGATATATCTTGCTGATAAGTACAAACTGTGTAGGAATGCTATGCAACTCTTGGGCTACTAAAATGCAGGCGCTCAGTATCTTCAGCAACCCCACATAGCATATTTGCCGTAGCCTTGCCCATCTTCCTTTGTTCCAGGGATGGCGTGGAGGGTACTGGACAGGGGCATTGCATATCAAGGCCCTGGAGACCAGTCGTGCATGGTAAAGTCCATAGAAGAAGAGAGACAGCCCTGGATACAGATGGCCCTCAAAGCCTCCCATGGAAGAGAAGGTAGGTCTGACCAAAGGCAGAAGCAAAAAGCTCAGGAATGGCCATTAACTTAGAGCCACTTCAGGCTCTAGAGCATGGAAGGAGCCTCTTGAAGCCTACTTATATCCTCTGTTCAGCCCACTGATCTGCTTACAGAAGGGAAATGGTTTTGGAGGAAGCCCAAACTTATGGTAGGGTGGGTGTCATGGTTTCCGTTCTGGTCTTCTGCTCTGGTTCATTGATAACCAGCTAACTTTTGACAAACGATGAAGTAAGCATATTCTCCAGCACAACGCCTGGGCATCTGCCATTCAGAGACTGTGCTAGAGGCCCTCCTCCCTCTCCTCTCACTGCCCTTGACCCTATTGCTACCCTCCTTACTTCCCTCCTGTCTTAGTCTGTCGGATGCTGTAACAAAAATACCATAAACTTGTGGCTTATAAACAATATAAATGTATTTCTCATAGTTTCAGAGGCTGAGAAGTCCAAGATCAGGGTGTCAGCAGAATCAGTGTCTGGTGAGGGGCCACTTTCTCATAAATGGTGCCTTCTTGCTGTGTCCTCATGTGGTGCAAGGGGCAAGGCAGCCCTCTGGGGCCTCTTTTATAAGGGCACTAATCCCATTTAGGGGGACACTGCCCTCATGACCTAATCACCTCCCAAAAGGCCCCTTCTCCTAATACCATAAACTTGGGGGTTAGGATTTCAACATGAGTTTTGGGAAACATAAACATTCTGATTATAGCACTTCCCAAATTCACAGAACATAAGGAAGAACACAGAAAAAGCATGGAGAATATACAATGCAGGGTTTATCCCTTAACATTCCTCATATAGGACCTTGTACAAACACTAGGTACAACTGTATTCCCCTAGGTATAAATAGTCTTAAGAAGCACAAATAAACATACCAAGGGCTCAATTATTCTGGCATCATTTGAGGATTGCCAGAAAAATTTTCACTCCTAAGAATCCCCCTTCTGCTGATCTCCAGAGAGAACTGAGATGTCACCTTCTGAGATTGCTTCCTTTGGGTCACAGCAGTGTTCTTCCAAGTTAAAATGAAAGTGAACAGGTTCTATCCAGAAATATTAATTCAAAATCTCTTGGAGTAGTGTTTTGCAATAAACATTTCAATAAACACTTCCAGGTAATTCTTATGCAGGTAACGTGTCCTGCATGTAAGACACCACCAGGAGCACCTAAATTTTCAGAAGCACTGAGTAAAATGTAAGTACCGGTGAGAAAGAGAGCCCATTAAGCTAGTAACTTAGTGTGAATTTGCCACCAAATATTTTCTCTCACGAAATAAGCATTAGAATGTAATGGTCATGTCAGCCAATCGAGTACAGGAAATGTCTCTAATTTCCTCATATAGATCCTACAGATTTCCATTTTGGATTATTTATTAGTAAATTGTCTTTTGTTGCTGCTATGAATGGATCTACCATTTTATTTTATAATTATTATTGATATAAGAAACTAAAATTTTTTGTTGACCTTCATGTTAATCATCTTGTTGGATTGTCATACTGTTCTTACTATTTTTCAAATGATTTTATATAATCGTATTATGGGAGTAGTTAGTTATTGTGGGAATGAGTTCCTCACAAAAAGGATGAGTTCAGCCCAACTTTCTCTCTGTCTTGTGCTTGCTGACCATGTGATGACTTCCACTGTGGGGTGACCCTCACCAGATAGTGGGGACATGCTGTCAGACTTCCCAGCCACTAGAATTGTGAGCCAAATAAGCGTCTGTTCTTTATAAATTACCCAGTCTGTGATATTCTATTCATAGCAGCAGAAAACAGACTAAGCAAGACACTAAGTAAACTTTTTGGTCGGTTCCTTCCACTTTATCCCCACCCACTGCCCTTGTATGGGTATCATCAACTCTGCACTATGGAAACATCTCTCAACTAAGTTCCAATCCTCGTCCATTCCTAGCCACATTGAAGACAGGTGAGTTTTGGGAATAGAGAGCTAATCATGACATTGGCTAATTTAAATTCTCCAGTGGCATCCCATTGCCTTGCAGATAAAATCCATGCCCTTAGAGTAAGTTTGAAGGCTCCTCATGCTTTGGCCTGGTCTCATTTGTGGCCCCTTCCCCACATGTGCTATTGTCTCCATGCTTATCAGAAACTTCCAGTTCAGTCTTCCTGTCCCCTACCCCTTCTCTATCTGGGAAATTCCTCTTCCTCCTTTCTCCTTTAAGTCTCAGCTCAAGCTCTGCCTCTTCTCTACACAACTTATACATGCAGGATACTTCTCTATGCAACTTATACATATGTCTACCATTACACTTGTTACATCATTTCATAGCTGTTTATTTACTGGGAAGTCTTCAAAGTCAGAGATCATGTCTTGTCATCTTTGTCTCTTTAGAGTCTAGCTCCATGCCTGGTGGTACTCAATGAATGTTTGATGGATGAATAAGTGAATAAACTATCAAATGATCTCATAGCCTTTGCCATAAAATACTTTATAATTTAGTTATGAAGGCAGAACAAATATGTACAAATAATGCCAGGTCATTAATGCTAACTGTCAAATGAGTGGAACAAATGACTAGAACTATGCAATTAAAGGAAAGTGCTCAGCCCAGCTGTAGAATCAAGGAAGATATGATCATTCCCAGTTAACAGTTGGGGAGCCTATGATATGTGAGTTCAACCCTTATCTTTGACTCCTTTCAGACAGAGATGCAGAATGAAAGGGTATGGATGACTTGGCATAATTATAACTTCTCAGCCAGAGACACAGACACCTTTGCATAACCCAGTGTTTCTCAATGCTCTTTTTCATTTTTATTCCCCCAAGAAGCCTTTTTTAACATGTTTTTCCTTATCATCTTTTCCCCATGAAAATTTAATATCATTCCACTTGCCCAAAAGTAGCAGGAGCAAGGAGTTCTCACTATTGAGCCAGATGTACCACTGACATCTAGGATGGGGAAGGAGCAAGTGTCAAACTCATTGGCTGATGTCCCGTGACCTGCCTGCATGATCTTTTCCTAAGACAACACTCTTGGTACCCATTTGGACACCTGGCCATTCCCTGGCTCACCCGCTCCCCTGACCAACTCAGGGATAGGCCCTGGAAGGCACAGGTCCCAACAGTAAGGTAGGAACATCATTATACATCAGAATCATCTTGGGGGAGCTTTTTAAAAATACAGATGACCAAGTTCTACCCTGACCCTAATGAATAAAGTCTCTGGGTTGGAGCCCAGGGATCTGCATTTTGAATCATATACCTCTTCCACCATGGTGATTTCAATACAGGCTGTCCTTCACCTGGGCTTGGAAACCACTGCACTAGACTAGAAACCACCACCCTGGTCATTAGGCCACACCTGGACACCATCTTCCAGCCCTCACTGACCCACAGATTCACCCAGGAGTGTGGGGCAACAACTTTATAAGAGCCCAGCAACGTTTACCAAGAGAGGCTGACACTCAGTGGGAGAGGAAGGGCAGGGGAGGGAGGAGGCTGAGAGAGGGACCAATAGGGGAGGAAGAAAAAGAGAGACAGAGAAGGCTGAGAGAGAACACGGAGAATTCAGAAAGAACACAAAGAGGATGCAAGCAGCTCAGACTCTGAGAAGAGGAAGCAAGGAAGGGGGAGGAGAGGGAGCCAGAGGCTATACTTTCCCTCTCAAGGGTGGGAATTAGGTTAGAAGTCCTCCTGGTCGAGGCCCCAGAGGATGTTATGAGTTAGTGATTAAGGAAATGAGAATTCTGATCTGTGTTCGAGACCTAGTTTGGCCATTTGCAAGGTGGGTGTTTTAAAATAAGTTATTTATCTTCTCTAAGACTCAATCTCTTCATCTATAAATGTGGTTTTGTAGGGATTCCATGAAATATTGTATTTTAAAGCAGGTTTTAAATATAAATACCCTTATATTAAATTATATTATTAAAGAAATTATATATTAAATATAGTTAATAAGTATTAAATAAACACATATAATAAATATATCTAAAATAAATATGTTAAATAAATAAATCAGCTGTTAATCTTAGGGCTGGAGGAGACAGACCATGGGGCTCATTTCTTCCAAATCCCTCGTTATTTTTTTTACAGATGAAGAAACTGAAGCCCAGAGAAAAGTGACCCAGGATGTCACATGGTTAGTGGGTTAGTTGGTAACAGTGTATATGCTGAGACGCTCAGTCACAAGCCACTGTCAACAAGAAGTACAAGGACGTCCCAGCTCAGCATGAAGCAAATGCTGAGGGGGCCAAGGTTGTCCCCGCAGCCTACGGAGCCCCAAGCTCACAGCCAGTGGAGCACTCAGGTGGGCCCACAGGCTGGATCTGTCCTTTTTTTTTTTTTTTGATTTTTTGATTTTCTTTCTTTCTTTTTAATGAAACAGTTTCAAAAGGTTGGATCTTGATCTTCTGTCCCACACTGCCCAACCCCTCAGGGGTGCCGTCAGGAAGAGAGACCAGAACTGTGGGACAAGAGGAGAGTCAGCATCAGAGGAGAACAATGATCTCTGCAGAAGGGTCTCATGCTAAGAGGTGCCCATGCCGCACACGCCTGCCATTAAAACGCCCACTGCGGGGGTAGCCTGAAGCCTAGAACACAACTCAGTTATAAGCAAATCTACAAGCAAATCAGTTACTTTGAAGCCAGAAGGGGAGAGGCTGGTTGATATTGAGTCTGGAAACACAGATATTAGAAGCAAGAATTTATCTGCCTTTATCCAGTGCTGCCCAAGGGAAAGGCTTTATTTGGGAGAAAATAAATAATTATTACAGAAGTGAAGTGTTTTTGGAGAAGGGACACTTTGTCTAGCTCTTCCTTTACCTGCTGTATTTCCCCCACGAGTGCACCCAGTGTGTGCCAGGAGGTACCGATGACCTTGTCACTGGCAACCCTGACCTAGGGCACGAGGAGGAGGAAAGTGTGGATGGGTAGGTGTGCGTGGGTTCTCCTAAGCAGGTGTGACTGTTTCAGGCACTGGAAAGACATATCCTTTGATGATAATGAATAAACTGTC